GGGAGCTGGTGATGGACAGGGACGCCTGGTGTGCTGCAGTCCATGGGTCGCAAAGAGTCAGACACGACTAAACAACTGAACTGAACTGATACTGTTGTGCTAAGTCTCTTCAGTCGCGTCCAACTCTTTGCAACCTTATGGACTGTAGCCCACCAGGCTCCTCTGTCCATGGGATTCTCCAGGCAAGAATACTGAGGTGGGTTGTCATGCCCTCTTCCTGGTAATCTTCCCGACCTGAGGATAGAATCCAGGTCTCTTATGTTGCCTGAGTTGGCAGGCAGCTTCTTTACCACTAAGGCCACCTGGGAAGCCCAACTATACTGTTATATTCCCTCGTTTTAGTTATAATTCATTTCAAAATAAAAAATATGCTGTATACTTTACACTTGTCTGAAAATTATGATTATCAATAAAGGAACTATCTTCTGCATTAAGAAAGGTTAAAGAATAATTTGATTTTCTTATATTTGTGAAATATAAGTTTACCACTGGCATCTGTTTAAAGGGCTGCACTGTAAAAGTTGTGAGTGTAGTTTATAGTACTTCAGTACTTGAATCTCTCCTTTTCCTTTTAGTCACCTAGTGAAGTTTATTCTTGGAAAAGGCCATCATCTTTGAGTAAATCAAGAGTCACTGATACAACATTCTATGGAGGAAAGAAGAAAAGTGGAACCGCAAAACAGAGCAATTGTGTGACTCTCTTGGATACTAATCAGATAGTCAGGATTTTGCCCCCAGGAGAAGTCCCTCTAAAAGACATCTACCCAAAAGGTAAGAGATTTAACAATTCCTAATTTATCACGACAGTTAAAGGTAGGTTGGTTTTGATGGGAACATTTAACTTATCATTATCTTTCTATACTTATGAATCGTTCTAATAGTTTAGTAGCTAAAAAGGCTTACATGTGCTCAGAACGTTTACATTAAACTTGTTACAGCGCATGATTGTACCCTCTGCTGTTAGAACTCATTTGCACTGCAGTCTATGCAGTAGCCTTACTTAGAACAGGTTTTCACAGAGACTTAAAAGCTCTTAGAACACAAGGCGTAGAAAGGTGGTGCTAGTGGTGAGGAAGCCGCCTGCCAGTGCAGGAGGTATAAGGGGCATGGGTTGGATTCCTGGGTCTGGAAGGTCCCCTGGAGGAGGGCATGGCAACCCACTTCAGTATTGTTGCCTGGAGAACCCCATGGCCAGAGGAGCCTGGCGGGCTCCAGAGCGTAGGGTCAGAAAGCGTCGGACACGACTGAAGTGACTGAGCACACACACAAGGCATAGAATATAGGGCCTGACTTTTGTGTTGACCTCCTGTGACTAAAGGCCAGTCTTATTCACTTCCCAGTGCTCTCAAAGTCAACCTGCGTTTATTACTGCATAACATGTGCCAGCTCCTGCGCTGGTCACTTTCCCTCATATAAATTCATTTAATCTTCAAAGTCCCATTCTTTCATTATGTACTCTCAAATTCGTATGCTGAGAAGCTGATACAGAGGTAAAATCAGTTGCTGAGGGTCACCCCATCAGTGGACAGCAGAGCCCAGATTTACAGCAGCATCTTCCAACCCAAGGCCATGGCTGTTCTCACTGAACGACACTGGCTTTCACTGTAAAGGACAGTTGTGGAAATGGTTGCTCATTGAGCCACTGACTTTTATTTGCATCCTAGTGGCAGTAATATGTTGTCTTGTGTTTACATTCATTATATTAGTGTGGACTTCATAAATATAATAATAAACCTGCTGTGATAATCTGTCTATTACTGGGTTCAAAAAGTCCTGGTTATATGATATTGTTACAATTAGTTCCTTCCAAATAAATTGCCGTTTCCTTAGAATGTTTTTTATTAATACACTGACAGTGGCTTCACAGTGCAGTAGGAATATTCACAAGGTGATCTATAAACACAAAGGAGAGGCTTACCACCCAAGTTTGCGATTCTGAGCTGATTCTTGACAGATGAATGGGAGGGAGTCAATGAAGCAGCTGTTCCTGAAAGAGAGAAGTCTACATGAACATACAGAGGCATGACAGAGCACCCCGGAATGACGAGAAATTCTGCGCCAAAACTCAGAGCAGCTCATCCACCCAGACACCTGGGGACCAGCCCTGATACTTCTCCCTCATCCTCCACATTTATTCCATTATCAGTTGCCATCTCTTTTTTTTTTCTTCCATTTATTTTTATTAGTTGGAGGCTAATTACTTTACAGTATTGTAGTGGTTTTTGTCATACATTGACATTAATCAGCCATGGATTTACACATGTTCCCCATCCCAATCCCCCCACCCACCTCCCTCTCCACCCGATCCCTCTGGGTCTTCCCAGTGCACCAGGCCCGAGCACTTGTCTCATGCACCCAACCTGGGCTGGTGATCTGTTTCACCTTTGATAATATACATGTTTCGATGCTGTTGTCTCAAAACATCCCACCCTCGCCTTCTCCCACAGAGTCCACAAGACTGTTCTACACATCTGTGTCTCTTTTTCTGTTTTGCATATAGGATTATCGTTACCATCTTTCTAAATTCCATATATATGTGTTAGTATACTGTAATGGTCTTTATCTTTCTGGCTTACTTCGCTCTGTATAATGGGCTCCAGTTTCA